TCCTTGTTAACAAAAACACCATTTATTAAATGCCCACTCTGTGCCAGTCACCGTGCTGGGCACCTAAACTAACATGGGTAAGAAGAAAAATAAAAGTACTGTCCAAAAAAGGAAAAAAATCACCAGGACAGTTTCCTCCACCCAGGAGTGCCATGAATTTTATGTCAGACCAGATGGTACCTCTGTTTTGGAGAGAACTTACCGTGGGTCTTTTGGGAAGTGCAATGATAAGAGCCTTTCTCTATCCATGGTAAATACAGAGAGGAAAATGCTGTTCTTCCAGGGTAGAAGCTAAGAGGAAGGCGCTACACATACAAATAACAGGAATCTGAGTTATCCCCGGTGGGAAGAGAAATGAGGGATGCCAGTGAGAAAGTGTGGTAGCTGACAGAGCAGGGGAACTTTAAAGAGTCATGAGCCTAGTCTTTAAAGAATTTCTATGCTGACATTGTGCTTTAATTCTCTTACATCGATTCCAGGTCTAAAATTGTTTACACACAGAGTCCCACGATGTCGACATAGCTGCAAAGCGAGGTGGAGGGAGGACACAGCAGCCTCAGAAACAGAGGCAGCAGGAGTGGAACAAGCAAACATTTGCAGTGAGAAAGTAAGCACCGCGCCCATGCTCCCACCATCCAGGGGGCCTTGCTGTTCAGTTTGACCCTGGGAACTTGTTGGCTCCGTTGGTTGTGCTTCTGACTCTTGGTTTTTGCTCACGTTGGGATCTCGGGATCAAGCCCTGCATCAGGCTCCGCGGTCAGCAGGGAGTTTGCTTGAAATTCTCTCTCTCCCTCTCCCTCTGCCCCTCATCCCTGCACGCTCTTTCTCTCCCAAATAATAAATAAATCTTATAAAAAAAAAAAAAGGTAGACTCTCGGTTGACAGATATTAACTAGACTTACTGTGGTAATCATTTTGCAATGTATAAAAATATCAAATCGTACACTTGAATATAATGTCATCTATCAGTTATATCTCAATTAAAAAGAAAAAGGAAACAGTGGACACTAAAAGAAATTAAAATAGAAAATACATGAAAAAACAGTTTAACCTCAAGAGTAATCAAAGTAATACAATTTAAGATAGCATATTTAGCCTATCAAATTGGCATAGATTTTTTTTTAAAGATTTATTGATTGATTGATTTGATTTATCAATCAGAGAGAGCACACAAGCAAGGGGAGCGGCAGGCAGAAGGAGAAGCAGGCTCCTCACTGAGCAGGGAGCCCAACGCGGGACTCTATCCCAGGACCCTGGGATCATGACCTGAGCCGAAGGCAGACATTTAACCAACTGAGCCACCCAGGCGTCCCAAATAGGCATTGATTTTTAAGCATGCAATATGAATAGGAGAATAGGGAAAAGGGGCTTTCAGGTATTACAGCTAGGGGTGGTTTGGGTAGAATTTTGTGTAGGTCATTTAATAATATGGAACAAAACCTAAAAAAAAGGTCCACCCCTGGGAATTTTTCTAAAGAAATAGAGATGCACTCAAATATCCATATACAAGGATATTTCGGTGGGAAAATTGAAAATGCCCTAGATTTCCAACAATAGAGTAATGGTTATGTCAGCATACAGAACAATAGAATTTTTATGGCCATTAGAAATTGTTTTCCAAGAAAATTCAAAACTTTAAAAATAGCTCTGTTGTAACATTTGTTGAAAATATCAAGAAACAGTTCATATAATGCATGACCTTACTCTGTATGTATAGATACATACATACTATGTATACGCATACGGGTATATATGTGTGTATGTGTAAATGTACACTCACAGAAAAGCGCCTGAAAATACATGCAAAAATAAATGTAGAATCTCTGGCCCCACCCCAAACCTATTGAATTGGACTCTGCATTTTCACGAGTCTCCCATCACATGAAAGTCTGGGATGCACTGCTTTACGGAACATTTTTTTTTTTTTTAAAGATTTTATTTATTATTTATTTGACAGAGACAGAGATAGCGAGAGCAGGAACACAAGCAGCGGGAGTGGGAGAGAGAGAGCAGACTTCCCGCCAAGGAGGGAACCCGATGTGGGACTCGATCCCAGGACCCTGGGATCATGACCTGAGCCGAAGGCAGACGCTTAACGACTGAGCCACCCAGGCGCCCTTTTACGGAACATTTAAAAAGTATGAGACTTCCCGTAAAATCACAGTGGGGCTCACTCAACGCATTACATTCTCTAAAACAGAAATGGAGAGTCAAGTACCCTGGAAAAGTGATTGGGACAAGAAAACCTGAGCCTTAAATCTCAAATTTGTCTGCCCTCATAGCTAAGAACCATAAGGTTCCTTGGTGAGGGCAGGATGAAGGGAATAATAGGACAGTGAGGCTGTTCCATGCCATAATTCAGCAACAGCTGCCTTGGGGTGGCCTAACCAAGCTACCCACAGGCTAGCTGAAGGCAACTCAGGTTTCGTGCAGACTTTCACTTACTCAGCAGCCAAGCTCATTTCCTGCATCAAGGTGGATTGAATTAGTCAACATAAGACCCGAGTGCCGATGCCTGGGGAAAGCCCAAGTGAGTGTCTGTCAAATGCTGTCGAATTTTCCTGGCTTCCTCCCACTAAAATTTCTCCTGAGCTTGTTTCTACCAGGGTCATACAGGAACCAGGGATCAGTAACATTTGCTCCTGGACTTCCCCGCTGTTGTCATACTGACAATCAGCAAAGTTCTGGGGTGGTGACTTGGGATGGCAAGTCTAGCCCCAGGAAGATGACCTTGCACTCCATTCTTGCCTCTAGGTTAAATTGCCAATTCCCTGGACACTGGCCCAAGTCTAATGCGTGGCCCCAGCCCACTTCATTAAAGAAAGTCACTTTCCCAAACTTGCCATATGAGGGAAACTCATTTTTCAGCTTCTGCTCCACAAAATGTTTTATATTTCTGAGCCCTTGCTCTCTCTGGGCCAGTTCCTTTTCCCTGGACTGGCCCTTTCGGTTCTTTCTGCTCATTTAGGTTCACCACAAATTCTTAGCCTCTTCCTCAAAATCTATCTCCTCTGACTGGCAACCCACCTGTATCTTTCCCTTTTCTGATCTCTCAACTTACTCTCATGGCATTTCACTCAGCATTTACTTAGAGACAACTTTTCTACTGTCCACTTGAACAGCTATTTGTATGTGCTTTGGCTTTTTAAGTTTTCAAGTGTTTATTCCTAATGTGTTCTCTGGATCTTACACTCTTTAAAGGAGACAACTTCTGCTTTATGTTCCCACCACTCCCACACCCCTAGCAAAATATCCTATTCATAGCTAGTACTCTATGAATATTTATTCACTTGATTTAATTTGATGTTGACACTAGTTTATTGCTTCTTCCACCAAGTTTCTTGCTGATGAAGGGGATCAGAGTATGCCACCATAAAATATGCAGGAAAAGCTCTCTGCCCCCCACCCCGATCTTTCTGTCTAAAAGCATGGCATAAATTTCCCTATTTCCCTTTGTAAAGTTGTCTCCCTCTCCCATTATTAGGAAGAGGAGGATAACTCTTAATCATGGGAGGCAACTCTTATCAATGGTGAAGTCCCGACTGGAGTCCGCATAACAAATCCTACTAAATATCCTTATCTTTTATTAGTTTCCCCATATATCTACCTTCCCACAATTTACTTCCCCCAGAAGTCCAACCCTTTGTCTAGTTTCTTCTCCATAGTTTATCACTCTTTGTTAAAATAGGAGTCCCCGCGTCTAACTACTTCTTTGGTCCTTCATATCTCTTCTATGAAGGCCTCCATATGCATACATAATAAACCCTTTCTCCCGTTAATCTGTCTTTTGTCAGTTTAATTTACAGGGCCTGGGTACAGAACCTAAAAGGGTGCAGGAGAAAGTTTTTCTTCCCCTACATTACTTTCAATTCCTAAAAGATCAGATGGGCTGACCAAAAATTTTTAAAGAGGGTTATTTTGAACAAGAGAAAACTTACAGACACATAATATTGTTTTCAAGTATTTGGAAGTTTTGTAAAATGGAGAGAGATTAGACTGTCAAAAGAAGGTCACACCAAGATGTTGGGGAATATCAGGTATGACATTCCAGAGGGCAATCATATATCAGGGGGCTCTTTAGACTGGACCTCCTTCAAGGTCTCTTCAACTTTGGGATCCTATGAAAACCAAAAAAAAAAAAAAAAAAGGAATGATATTTTAATTAAACATACCCACAATCTCAGTCTTGGGAGTAGGGGTATTTATGAGTGTGCACACGTGGGTGGATACAGTTATGTATCTTCTGCCCTTTTCTTCAGTTTTTTCCTCTTTCTACGGAAAACAATCACATGACTCCAAATGCTAAAAATTCTAAGTATGTTTCCCACAAAGATCCAGGTTAAGAAGAGAATAACTTGGGGGTGGGGGGAAGACCAGAGAAAGAGCACCGGAACAACCACCCTTCTGAGAAATGTGTTACTTTCACTCCTGCCATGGGACTGATTCACAATGATGACTCTCGGGGCTCCCCTCATTTGTGTAGCAACACTGTAGAGTGGCAGGATGAAATGGGTTTCCTGCAAGGGGCGGTTCATCGTTGCGGAGGTGAGGGACTTCAGGGGACACGAGGGAGAAGGATGGAGTTGGAGGAAAGCAGAGGGGAAGAGACGTGGGAAGGAAAAGCGGAGCCCGTGGGAGCAGAGAGCAAGTATTCCTCAGTTAGCAGGCTTGTTCCGCCGCTCCCTCTGCTGCATTTGACCCGAGAGGAGATCAGAAGATAGTGGATGGGGAAAGATATCAGGGAAAAAACATAGACGCTGAGAAGGTTCTTGGACATGCAGACAGGCGTACTTATTTAAGCTGGAGAGAAAGCTTCCCGTAGATTGCATGTTTATGCCCATTACCCAGGTTTTATGCTAAGCAAATAATGCAGAGAACACCACTGCTGACTTTCTTACTCCATGACACCTCTCATACTCTACAAATGCATGTGTCCAGAGCACCCCTTCACCTGGCCCCCAACTCACAATAGCCATTAAGGCAGGGAGGCTCCTCTTTACCTTTGCTGTTGGCCTCCATCGCAGATTTCAGGAGCTGCACAGGTCTTCAGAAGTAACCCCCTTAGCTGATGATGGAGGTTGGATGGCTTTCCCACAGACCACCTCTGGGGGAGGAGCCCGGCTTGGACCGAGGCCTCCTACTCCCTCCAATATCCATCTTCAAATAAAGGGGCCCTTCTCTCCAACTCTTCCAGGGCCATTTTTCTCTTTAACAAAGTGCTATCAAGGAAGGAAAGTGATTCTAATATTAATAGCCTTACATGGTAGGGAAAGCCATACAGCTCACAAAGCATTTTCATATACTTGATTTTATTTGCCTCTCAAGACAATTACATGAGAAAGAGATGATAAATCTCTCCGTTTCACAAGTTAAGAAATTGAGACCTAAAAAGTATGTGGCAACTGTCCAAAGCCACGCAGCTATCAAATAATAGACTTAGCAGTTCAAAACAGGGCTTCTGACCCCAAGCCCAGAGAGGTAATGCAGATGCAGGCTGGAGAAAAATTTACAACAAAGATACCCAGGGCATGGGGAAAGGAGAGCAGTTGTCAGAGGATCAGACTTGAAGAGTGAGCAGCATTTTCTTAGTAATGTCTGGACTGGGGTCAGGACACTTGAGTGACTCTGCCTGTTCTCTGAAGATGAGGAGAAATAAAACCAGCCTTCAATTTGTTTTATCTGAACCCTTTCTAGGCTTTACACATTGTCTTACACACGTTTTTCTGGCTGTGAACCAGATAAATGGAAACAAGAGCAGGCCAGATGGTTTCGGTGACAGCTCTTAAGATGCCTTGCTCTACCGACTTTTCATCTCCAGTTCTCAAAGATTATATAGCTGTGGGAAGTTGCTTTCTCCGCACTTGCTGTTTGTAATGATAGAATTTTTAAAGCAATTCCGTAAGTCTGAATTGCAACTACTACGGAAGGTATTATATGGGAAGTACATAGTATGAGATCAAAAAATTAATTTCAAATCCAGAGTAAATTTGGCAATTTAAAAAAGGTGTGGGTGGGGGTGAGCAAGATATCCAATGTCAGCAAGGATGTCAGACAAAGGGCATCCCTCATACATACGTGTGGGGCTATAAATTGGTAACTTAGTGAAACATACCTAAAACTTTAATAATGTTCATATTTTGACCCAACATTTACACTTCTAGAAAATCATCCTAAGGAAGTAAATAAGTATGGACATAAAAATTCGGCAACAGGGCTGCTCAACAGAGTATTATTTATAATCATGAAAAATTAATAACAATAAATGCCCAACTATACAGGAATATATAGAGACTTACCTGGAAAAAAAAAGAAATCCAAGGTATATTTTCTCTGGGTGACTAGATTACAGGCGCTCCTATTTACTTCTTATGGCTATTTTCTAGGGTTTCTCTAATGAAAAGATTCTGTTTTTACAATAAGAAAAAATTACACTTGTTTTAGTTAAAGAATTTTTAAACAGGTTCCAGAATGGTAGTTTCCTGGTAACTGTAGGGCCCACCCTAGCACAAACTTTGTGAGATGGTATGAAATAGCAAATACCAGTCATTGCCAAACAGGCTTCCAAGGGCAAATTGCCAAGAGCATCACCGATGGTGGAAGGTCTTCAATTTCATCTCTCCACCCTGGGTGCCCGGGCTGTCACACCAGCTCCACTCATAGACGTAGCTGTGACCGACTCCAGCTCCCTAGAGCAGTCTCGGCCCTTTGAAGGCAGCAACACGATATAACAGTTAGACTATAGTAGTTAAGAACCAAGATGGCCCTGAATTTGAATCTGGACTCTACAGGCTACTAGCTAGGAGGCCCTGAGCTAATTCTCTGACCTCTCCAAGCCTACTCTCTCTTCAGAAAAATTGGGAGAGTAAAATGCATTTCAGAGGACGGTAGGGAAGATTTAATGAGATGATTTACGTGGCACTTAGTATATATATTATAAGCTCTTAACAAATGATCACTATTAGTAGGGCCAGCTCTTCTTCCCTGCCCCAATCACTAAGTACATGGAGTTGCTGTCTCTGGGAGTTAGTTTGCTTGGGAGCTTGGAACCTGTATACAGCATCCCTCTGTTAATTCTAATTTGTTAAGTGTTTTATCATCCATTCGAGTTAAATGTGACATGTACTTTCACTACTTCTGCAGGATTTTCAGAACTCTGGCTTTCAATTCAAAGTTTCAAAACATTCTTACTCCCTAAATCCCTACAATTATTTGTTAATCTCACTCTCAAGTGCCCTGGTACCGCTGGGTATATTGTGAGGTGTCACTTTCAAAACTGGTTTTAAAGTTCATCAAGAATAAATTATAATAGTTATAGTAAGGTGGTAAAATAATTTTTGTTCTCTATTTTGTCCATTATGTTTTATTAGTCACAGTAACATTTTAAAAAAACAGAACTGTGGGGTCGCCTGGGTGGCTCAGTCGTTAAGCGTCTGCCTTCGGCTCCGGTCATGATCCCAGGGTCCTGGGATCGAGCCCTGCATCGGGCTCTCTGCTCGGTGGGAAGCCTGCTTCTCCCTCTCCCACTCCCCCTGCTTGTGTTCCCTCTCTCGCTGTCTCTCTCTGTCAAATAAATAAAATCTTTAAAAAAAAAAAAAATAGAACTATGCACATAGTTCAACTCCAACTTTAGGCTACATTTTTGGAGATCTTATCCAACTTTATTTTGCTCTCATTCAGGACTCCATCCACTTATATTAATAGAATAGTAGCACACATACGTAAGATGGCATGAGCCAACCTTTCTATGTCAAGGCTAAATGTTGGTACTTAAAGATAGGAAGGCTTAGCTTGCTAGCAAAAGTACCTGCTGGGAGAACGATTATCAGAACAGTAGATCTCAGCAGAGGTTAATATCCTCCTACAGGCTGTGGGAACATACTCAGGGTTTAATAGTAAAAATATTTCAGAAAAGAATTTAGAATCTTAATTCTTTCCCTTGAGGAAAGACTGAAGAGAATGAGCTAGGATTACATGCTGGTTAATAACAGACCAGAGAGAAACCAGCATTCAATCCTGAGGCATCAGACCTGACAAAGAAAGTGAACTAGGTTTATAGTTCAGCAAATTAAAATGAAGTTAAACAAAAACAAATTTTATTCTAAAATGTTTCTAGGAATTAAATAAAACCCCTTGAGATAAATGGAAACATCCCAGAGCTCTACCCACAAAATAGAGAAGCCCCAAAATCACTACCCTCAAAAAGGATATTTAACAAGATGCTAGGAGACTCATTCCAACCTGCCTCCAAGTGGTGCCAGGGCCTACAACGTGTCTTGTGCGTAGAACGGACACTGAGTGCTAAGAGTCATAAGCATTACCAGAAGGGACCTCAGATCACCTATTTCAACCACCTCCCTTTCCAGATAAAGAAACCAAGTCATTTCCCTCTAAGGAAGTAACTTGCCCAGCCTGGCTCGCTAACTCAGCCACAGTAGGTCAGAAAAGGAACTCGAAGGCAGCACCCTTGCTTCCCAGTGCAGGGCTCATTTCCTCTGCCAAATCTGGGCTCTCTGCAGAGATTTCCTGTGCGACCTGTGCGCAGCACTCCACCTCCCCTCTTCCCTACTCTGAAGCTCAAGTGGTAAGACCTGGCTCCTGGGAGAGGGGAGCGACCATGGCAGGGGAGGCGGAGAACTCCCACAGAGCTCTTGCCAGGACAGAGTGAGGCGGCCAGCACACAGGTGACTCACACCTGCCTTATTCCACTGAGCAAACCCTTTGGGGAACCCTGACTGCGGGAAGTCTGGAATCATTAAGACCAGTTTGAAAACTCAGGAAAAATGAGAAGGGCATAACCTATTTGGTTTCTGTGAGGCTTTCTCCTCGTGACCTTCGTCCTGTTTTCCTAACGACCATACCTCACAGGGCTGTCGTGAGGACGGATGTAACACTGCCCACACCGAGCAGATCCCAGTCCCTGGAAGAAGGCTGAGGAACCCAGCGCCATGAGCTAGGGTAAGGGTCATCCCTGTGAGAAGCACTTGAGTCAGAGCCACACTGACCAGAGGACAGGAACCATCAGGAAGTGGAAAGGCAAGGAAAAGAACAAAATTCAGGAACTCAGCAAGGGCGATAGTGTTTTAAATGGCTTTGACCAAAGGATGTTTTTTGTAACACATCAGAATGAAACATTTTTTGTGAAACTTGGAATTTGCAGTAATAATGGAAGTATCATGGAGTATTTCCGTGCTGGCAGGCACTTATCACTTGCTCTCGGTTATGTCTCACAAGCCTCCCTCCAGGCAGTGAGTACCCCCATTTTACAGATCAAATAACAAGCAGCTCAACACTTACCCTAAGTTATTTGCTAAGTGGCAGGGGAGAGACCCCATTCCAGCAACTCTTATCAAATTGTCTTTTTTGACAACTATCTTTTCATATTGATACTTCATTTATCCAGGAGAGATAAGGAATAAGGTAGCATAAGATTTTCCAAGATAGGACATAGTTCTCTAAGGTTTACAAACTATCTTAATTATTTCAATGGCAAAATTAAATGTAAACAGACTTCTCTGAGTGAAGTATATAGATAATGAAGGGTGTATTTTTTTTTTTGTCCTGGTGAATCTGGGCCATCACAGATCTCAGCATGTGTGGCAGTGACACCCTTAGGGGAGAATGACCTGCAGAGGGGTCACCCATACATGAGTGGCTGGTCAATGCCTGCAGCAGGAAGAGAAACATAAGGACACTGAGTAGTAGACTATATCCTTTAAATGCTTACCAACTTCTTTAACGTTACTCTAAGCTGGGGGAACTATACACACACACACACACACACATTCTTTAACGTTACTCTAAGTTGGGGGAACTACACACACACACACACACACACACACACAGTTTTTAAAATCCTGATATAAAGATTCATTGAGCTTGTAGAGCGCTGAAAAGTCAGCAAGGTAAACTTGGCTTTACAGCTATTGCAGACTGCTAGATCTGCCTACTCTCCTACTCTGCCTCAGTTTCTCCAGGTGTGAAGGATAGAGAGCAAGAGTCCTACTGACAAAATGTTGGACCTTTCTGGAAATGATCATTTGAGGAGACCCCCCCTTTTCTTCATATCCGTGCCCCATGGTAGCCCACACCCCTTTTTGATACACTCATGGCCCCCCTCAATTCCTACAGTTCCTATTGTGTATGCCCTATTGGATTTTAAAATTTCTCATGGACACATTAGATATAAATCCCCAACCGGTGCCTCAAGAGCATGCAGTTCTATATTTACACCCACTGCTGAGTAGAGCACAATATAGGACTCATTGCCAGTGCGCAATTCATGTCAGAGTCCAGTCCTGATACCACTGCCCTCTCCTGACTCTCTAGATTACTTCCAATAGGACTTGGATTTCACATCTGGGGGAAAAAAAATCAAAGTTGAAACTAGAACTCCCCATCTTCTGCCCCATGGTTTCAGGGTAAGGTGTTCCCCCCTCATCAAAAAGGAAGAAGGAAGGGGGTGCGGGGGATGGGTTAGCCCGGTGATGGGTATTAAAGAGGGCACATACAGAATGGAGCACTGGGTGTTATACGCAAACAATAAATCATGGAACACTACATCAAAAAAATTAATTTAAAAAAAAATAAAAAGGAAGAATGAAGTACTTCACCAATCTTAGAACCAACACAACCTCCTTTACAGAGCAGCTTCCAGTTCATGTGACGCAGGTCCCCATAAAGTCACACTTTTTTTTAAGTTCTTTGGAAGCTACTCAGAGCATTACAGCAGGAAAGAAACCACCCAGGCCCCTCCACAAACTTCTGCACAAAAATACGAAGAGCTGAACATCCAGGTGCGAGTGGTTTCACGAGGATCCTGTAAGGGGATCTCTTTAAAACGGGCCAGAACTCACAATATTGAGATGTCTGATATAGCAGGTATTACTTCTCCATGAATGGGCTTTGATTCAGGCTCAAAAAAGGCAGGCAAAGGGTCAACTCTCCTATTCACTTGCTGGCCTCCTGTGGCCATTTAGCTATTCCAAATTGGCAAAGTTTGGCTTGCATAACTTTAACTGATAAATGCTGGTGTCACTGAGGAAGAAAACTGCCTCAAGACCTAAGCCCCAAGGACAGCACAGCAGCCTGCTGCCACCGTGTGGTGACTTGGTGCAAATGTGGAAGCAGAAAATCCTACAGGGCTGAGCTTTCAAGGAAAACAAAATTAAAGGTGTTGACAGAAGCACGCAGTATTAAGGCCATGCATATAATATAAAAATAGGTTAAGTTTATTCAATGTATTGGATATTTAAGTCAGAAGTATGTATTAGTTTTAACTGGTGCTACAGAAAAGAAAGCTTCCTTGGTCTTCATAACTTGCTTCAGAGTTTCACTCACAGCAGCACAGAACAACCCAAAGACTATTCCAGACCAATGTACTCAGGAAAGAAAAAACAGCCAACCAACAAGGAAAGGATGAGCAGAAACCAGCTGTGCTCCCCCCATATTCTCAGAGGTTATGTGTTATTTACCACGAACAATGGTTTGGTTTGTTCTGGGTGGGAGATAGGAGAATGAATGAATGAATGAAGATACAAGAGTCTTAGTCCTTGCCCACTTTCTTCTCTTCACCCCACAACAGCTTTCATTACCCATTCCCAAAGCTCAGCTTTGTCACGTGTCCCTCAACTTCGGTTCAATTAACACTGTTATTCAGGAAATGAAGGCAAAGACTGGCGGGAGCAGGGAGAGGAAATATGAAAGAAACATTCTGGGCACAGCCCCAAAGTTCAGAGATGAGTTATCCTCAGATAAGGAAGATGATGCCCTCGGAGACCATGACCTGGTTGTCGTCCTGCATCTTGCTCAGCGCAACCTGGATCTCTGCTGAAGAGAAGGGCTCTTCTCTGTCCTGGTTGATGGATTCTGTGAGGCGATTCATGCCCACCGACTGTGCGTGAGCTTCCCGGAACACATCCAAGAGGGCCACCTTGAATTCCTTCAACCTGGCCAAGTCAGGAGAAGATGGATAAAGGAGAAGTATACAAACCGAAAAGCTCTCAGGCAAGATCCATGTAAGCGTTAATACAGTATAGATATCCCCCAACAGTCAATTTGAGAGCTTCCTGCTCATTGAGAAATAATACCATTTTAAAAACCACCTCTCTACTCACCGGGATTCACTCAATTCCACCTTCTGGGACTCCTTGGTCTCCTGTGAGTCTGCTGTCTTTGGAGTGTGCACTTCAGAGGATAAATGGTTGCAGATAATGGGAAGACAACACGGTGAAGCCATTTCCATTTCCAAAGACACCAGGAAAGTAATCTCCACTCCCCACACCTCACCAAGCCTACAGAACACCCACTTCCTAGGGTTCTTCTGGAACCAGCCAGGGTAGAGAAAATGAGTCGGGCAAGAGACCCGCAACATACATTATCTGGGATGCTTATGCCAGGCTTGGCAAAGAGCACGGTTCCTCGGGAAGGAAGCAGCAACTGAGCAAAGCCCAGTTTCCAGAGTTTTGACTGGGTTTCCCGAGGTTCTCTTGGGACAAACCTCTTGGACACAGGGCCCTGAGCAGGACACCAAATGGCAACGCACCAGAAAATGTAGTACACAGATCAACTAAAGTTAGCAGTCAAAGGAACCACCTCTTTATCAATAGGAGACAGTCACTCACCTTGAGGCATTTCCTCCTCTGTGTCACTGAAGTCATAGGGGTCATAGGAGCCCCCATCCTTGGCATCAGTGTGACGAGTCCTCCTCCTAAAATATCCATAGCAGTTAAGAGAAAGGCTTTGGAGAAACCCATCCTGGGCCTCTGACCAGAGAAAAATAACTAGGACAATCTACAGTCAAAGCAAAATGCTAGGCCCAGGCCTATATAAACTGTTACTTTTTCTTGAAAGAGACCAAAAGTCTCTGGACTAGAACACAGACAGGCCCTGCTTCCCAATGCTCTTTTTCTCTATCAGCCACCTTAGACATTCAATCACAGGCATGAATACCACGAGGAAAGGATTCTGAAAAATAATACACTCAAAAACCTGTTTGAGTCAGTGTGCTCCTGCTACTTAGCATTTCTTTAGCAGGAAAGAGGTCAGAAGCATCCTACCAGGGGTGCCTGAGGGGCACAGGCGGTTAGGCATCCGACTCTTAGTTTCTGCTCAGGCCCTGATCTCAGGGTTAGGGGATCGAGCCCTGCTTCAGGCTCCATGCTCAGCACAGAAGTCTACTAAAGTTTCTCTCTCTGCCCTCACCCCCCTACCCCGCCATGCGCGCACCCTACAGATCTAGGCACCTTTTCCCAACAATAACTTGATATCAACTAGCAGTACTGATTCACCTCCCTCCCCTCCCCCAACTTATGTCTTTGTCTCCTTTCTCTTCGCTCCGCCTTACCTCTTACTCTTCTGCTCTTGGTCCTCCTGGCTTTTCTCCTCTTCATCCTCTGTCTCTGATTCACCCTCATTTCGCTTCTTTCGTTTCTTCTCCTTCTCTAGAACCTAAGACCAAGCCAAGCATGGGTGGGTGGGAAGGGTCACTGATGCTGGGAAACTGAATGAAAAATTCTGGGTAAGAGTCCCTTCTATACCATCAGCAGAAATAAGATGAAACAGCGAGCCTCTTTCATCCCTGAGTCCAGAACCAGGGGCAGAGGAATAGGCTGCTGCCTAACTTTAAAAATGCTGAGAGGTGGGGCGCCTGGCTGGCTCAGTCGGTTAAGCGTCCAACTCTTGGTGTCAGCTCAGGTCATGATCTCAGGGTCATGGGACTAAGCCCCGTATCGGGCTCCTTGTTCAGCAGGGAGTCTGCTTGAGATTCTCTCTCCCTGTCCCTCTGCCCCTCCTCCTGGGCTCTCTCTAAAATAAATAAGTCTTTAAAAAAAAGTGCTGAGAGGTATGTTCAATTCCTTTGACATAGTAGATACTTAATGAGTATTTAAGGAACAAATAAGTGAATGAAAAAAAAGCCCAGCCCATAACGATTAAGTGGAAAACAATCCATTTCTTTATAGATCAGGTGGTTAATTTAAATTTAAGACAACTCCCACCCTAGCAAAAAGAGTAAGCCAGGAAAAGCCTATCAGACCCACAACTAAACCCCAGAGGGCTACAGTTCACTAAATTGGAGAGGGGGTGGGCAACAAGGAAAAGACAGTGAAGGCTTCAAGGCCTGGTGTCTAAAATGAAAGAAACACAATGTTACAAGCAGAAGCAGAAGCAGAAACAGAATGACAGGCCCAAATTTGAGAGTTCAACTTTTGATGTGAGTTTTTGAGATGCCAATGGGATACCTGAAGAGACTGGCAAAAGAAAAGGTACAGAGGGAAGAGGAAGATCACCCAGGTTAATCCTTTGGAAACATCTACTTTTTTAAGAGACAAAGGAAGTATGAATAAGCAGAGAAGCAGTCGATTGATGATGCAGCACATCAATGAAACCAGAATCTCTGGGGCCTCTGGTAGCTCTGGCATCAGTATTTTAAAGCTTCCCAGCTAGATGCTGCTTTCCACTGATGACCTAAATACAGTGGTCACCATGAAGGGCTGGGCAGCCCAAGCACCAACATTTACTCAGAAGGAGCTCTCAGGCCCAAGCATGTGGACCCTCACCTTCTTGAAGTAAGCGTACTGGACCAACTCCACAGCTTCCTCTGCATCCTGCAGGTCCACGGTCTTGCTCATGCGGGCCTTGGCATGGGCTGTGGCCAATCGAATCAGAGTCTCCAGTGTCCGGGCTGTAACTGGTGATGTCTGGGGAAGAAAACAAGGGAGGATTACTTGTCCAGAATTCCTTAGGCTTGCCTATTATTCCCACTGTACAGAAAAGGATAAAGATACTACTGGAATGACTCTAGGAAGTAAAAGCAAAGGATTCAGAGCTCTGTATTCTGTATAAACACCACATAAAATTCACAAAAATAAAAACAGCCAAGAAAATATGAGTGTTGAGGTTCGAGAAAAGGGTAGGTGAACAAGGAAGAAGAAAATGAGGCATCTTACAGCTGGAAAGAAAAAAGGCTAGAAAGACTACAATAGTGAAGGAGGAAAAATAATCCTTACTGCCAATCTGCAATGCTCCAGGAACTTTGCTTTTGTATCAACTGCATTGTTTAACACTCTCGATAACTTCTCCAAATTTTATAGATGAGGAAATAGGACTCAGCGTTTCAAGTAACTTGGGCAAGGTCACACTAAAGGAGGGGTGTGAAAGAGGTCATCTGAGGACAAATTTTTAAAGTTGGATAAATTCAAGTCCAGAGGATGAACAGAATTCTGGCATGTTCTCATCCAGTGGTTCTCATGGGGGTGGGTGCATACCAAACTGGTGTGCTTCTATCTTTTTTAAATGCTATTGACTGAATGGCATCTCTGACCTAATGAATCAGAATGTCTATGTTTAGGACTGGACATGTATTCTTTTTAAGTTTCAGGTGATTATGATGTGCCCACCTAGTTAAGCATCCCTGACATTATCCAACCTTCTCATTTTATGGATAAAAAAAACTGTGAGCTGAGATGTGAAGAGATCTGTGCAAGGCCCAAAAATTAGCTGAAGACCTGGTATCAGAACAGAGGGCTAGTTCTTTCTGTCACACCCCCACATCTCCCATTGTATGATCCTTGATCTGGTCACTTCTACTTTCAAGTTTCCCAAATTATCATGGGATGGGGTATTATTTATAGCCCATGGAATGGTATAAACAATACCCCGTCCCACGTTCAAAAACAAATACATTCACTTTTAAATAAATTCACCAAATCTTTTAATGATTTAAAAGGTACCAGAGTGTGGCAGTTACACACTCCATTATAAGCTCCAATTCCTGGATAACCTAAAAAGCAAATGAAATCCTAGCTTGCATTAGCAGAACTACAGAATCCAAATTGAGAGATTTACAAGACCCACTAAGACCACAACTAAAACAGTGTTTTGTTCAATGAGAAGGCTTCTGACACACTGGAACGTGTTCATGTGGTGAGGGAAACAATTAAAAAGAAAAGGGGCTGCTTAATCTGAAGAAGACAAGTCATACACAATCCCCAGAAAACAAATTAAGCCCCATGGGTTTAAGTCATGGGGAAGCAAGTTTAAATAGAAGAATATTCTAACATTTCAATGCAGTGATGTGCCGGGCATGCTGCCACTGGAGATGTCAAGGAAGTCTTAGCGGAAATTCCAGAAGATGGAATGACTGTCTGGGTGTGAGGCTGGAATAGGCGACCTGGGATCATGTCTAAATCCAAGAGTCTATGTCTATAGCACGTAACAACGGTCTTGGACTTGGGTCTTTCTGCCATGAAATCCTGTATGAACTCTACTGCCCCAAAGAGTTTAGATAAATTCACAGGCAGATTTCTAGAAATGGCTTTGGATAACTATTATAATTATCCAACTAATCATTTGTCAAAGTCCAGCTCAAATACCATACTCTCTTCCCTCAAATTCATACCCCTTCTATAAAGTCTAAAGGAAAAACTAATAGCTTCTTCATCTATATTCACTCCAATCATCTTTCACATTCATTTCCTTTTAGGTACCACACTGGGGTAGATATTTATAAACAGGCATATATGATCTTTCCATCTACCTTCCTGCCTCCTAAGTTCCAGATCTGAGTTCTCTGAGGATAGCTCTTCCTATTTTAACCCTGCATGCAAGAACAGACACCAGTTCAGTTCCCACAAGTGGCTCCTTATGTTTGCTGAATGAATCACAGCTTCTGGAAGCCAATGTCCTCTGAACTAATGAGATAAAGGTGTTCTCACTTCGTTTTCCTTTGTAGAAGGAAATGATTAGAATTGGAGAACAGGAAGCCCTTCAGACCAGAAAGTAAAAGGGGAGGAATCACTAAGTTGAAATGCTTCGAGAGCTCCCAGATAACAGGGACTCCCCAGCCTTCTACTTCAGGAATTCCCAGGTCCATCTTCCCTGTGGGGACTCACCCTGGCAGTGTCCGAGCTCATGCTGTCTTGGCTGCGCAGGCGTGAGTACTCTTCTGCAATGTAGGCGGCTGAGTCCTGAGTTAGAATGGGCTTGATGATTTTGGCCACGTGGATGTACTTCCTCATGAATGCTGCACTCACCATCTTCTCCCTGCGGGCACACACAGTGATTTCTTCTTCTTTGCCACACCTCGGCACCTGACTGGGCTGGGGGCTTGGCCTCTCCTCAGAGAAGTCAAGGTCAAGTGGCAGAGATACAATCTAGAATACGTTATCAGAAATCCCACTTATATAGAATGTGTACGAGACTCTTTCATGTATGTCAATTGAATCAGAATGTAGCTATTACTTAGGTATTTGTGAGGTAAAAATTTAGGTATTATGTGCCCTATTTAATAGGTTAAAAACTACAGCTCAGAGGAGACTTAAATTCAGTGTTCTGACTCTAAATTCCATGTTCTTAAATAACAGGTTTGAATCTCTATGCTTCCTACTGCACCACAGCCCTAAATACAGGTATAAGATCTCATATTTTGTGCTTTGAACACTTGAACCCTAGTCTCCTTTATCCAAATCCACCTGCACAGCACCCAGGGCTTGCCATCTACTGTCCCTTCAACAGTAGCTTGTCACAAATGGCTAAAGGACCTGTGCAGTACTTCACGTACGAGGATAACATAACATACCCACCATCAGCTGAGCATGTGTCAAAGCCTTCCTTTTAGAAGATTAGAACCTAAACCCATTCGCCACAAACACTTAACAAGGCAACTGGCCTGGAAAAGAAGTATCTAAGCGTGGGATCCAGAAAAGAAAACAGGGCCACATGGCTACGAATCCAAGCATGATCTTGCCTGGGCAGCACATAAAAATATGCTAATATGACAGAAATCTCAGGTTCCTTCAAAGGAGAAGTATGAAGAATGCTCACTTTTTCTTCTTGGTCCCATGCAGAAGGTTGTCATGCTTCTCATAAATCTGGGTGTCCTGCTGGTCTTCCTGGTTAAAATTGGGATCGTCTGTGGCCAGGATATCCACGGCACTACCCAAAGGCATAGCTGGAAAACCCAAGTTGGGAGAAAGGAGAGTAAGAAATTGCTTCTTCTGAAGAGATAAAATACTAATAAAGCAAAGACACATAGACACGTGGAGCCCACAAATAAGAAAGGTGGAACTACCTAGCTCCCAGAAGATGCTCAAAGGTGTTCCTAGACCCAGAAATGGAAAAAAGACACACCTTAGGATAACTCCCAGAGAGCAAGAAGGGAGTGGTCACGAAGGCAAGGGCACCTTCAACATCAACCCAGAAACGGAAACAACCACCATGACCTGGGCCAGGTCTGAGATAATCACATCTGTTTAGGTCCCCCTCCATTAATCAGTCTGACTCTTCCCGTGGCCTCACCATCGCCATCCTGTTCCCCGGGGGCCCTGTAACGGTGCATCCTAAGGACATGGTCCGAGATCTCCCGATCCTGCTCAGGGTCCATCTGATCCAACATGATGAAGAGTAAGTCAAACCGGGATAGCAGTGAGTCCTGCAGCCCAATGTTCTCCATGGGGGTCTTATACTGATCATACTGTGCAACGGAAGGAAAAAGGAAAGTGGAGGCGACATCAATGGGAAGAAAGGACAAGGAGGCTATTTAAAGCTATTAAAATACTTACTTCAGTTTGTCTACCTGCAACCCTTCTCTCACTGAAGCTTCGGGAGACCTGAGCGAACTCAGAGCCCCACCTCCTAGCTGAGGTGCCTCTAATAAGCTTATCGTAGGTCTCGAAACCAGCGTCCTCCTTCCCAAGCTTTATTCTGCCCCTGCCATTCCCAGGGCAGGACCAACCCTGAAAGATGACTCCTCCCCTGCCTGTTATTGACAAGAGGGCTAAGCCAAAAACACTTGGAAACTTTGGAGTCCCTTACTCAAAAGGTAATGAGTAAAATCGCAACGAAAATGGTCAATAATCTATAAATCATGAAGTCTCAGGGTCAAGGGAGATCTTCCCCGGGACTCAAGAACCTCTATACTTTTTTATCTTTCAATTCTGGGCCTATGAGGCTACCCACCCACAGACACTTCACAGTCAGAGGGTCTAACATCCTTGTGGGTAACATTAATAATGAATCTGACCACGTTCCCATTTCAGGACCCGCCATTTTCTCCCTACATTTCCCAATATAATTCTTCAAGATGACATAAACATATGTTACCATTAATCTAAAAACCAAGGATCTCAACCCAAGCTATGCATTAGCACCAACCTATGGAGCCTTTCTAAACCATAGTTACCAAAAGCCCCAACCCAAAAATTTGAATTCAGAAACCCTAGACTGGGGACCAGGCACCTGCACGTTTAAAAAACTCCATGAAAACAGGTAACCCCATACACTGTGGAATTGTAAATTGCCAGAGCACAGTATGGGCTCTGGGTTCAAATCCTGACTCTGCCGTTTTCTAGTTTGTGATTCTTGAGTAACTTACTTAATTTTTTATGCCTCCATTTTCTCACCTGTAAGATAAGGATAATAACTACCTATCTACAAGGTTATCGTGAGGATAAAAGCAAATTACTTGTAAGTCTTAATTAATAGTATTATTATGGTACAAACTTTAAAGAAGGCAATTTGGCAATCTCTACCAAAATGAAAATGCATATAACTCTTTAATCCACTGATTCTGTTACTAGGTATTTATCATACAGATATCTGTAACAAAATACATATAAAGGGATATTCACTGCAACTTCATTTCATAATAGCAAGGGGGAAAAGGGAAAATGCCAAATGCCCATCAAATAGAGACTAAACAAATTACTATAAATCCATACAATGGAATATAAGACAGCTGCCCAAAAAAAAGAAAGAAAAAATAAAGGCAAAATTCGGCAAACCCCAAGCTGAATAAATATGAAAGATACACCTTAACACATCATCATCATAGTGAAAAGCAAAGATAAACAGACAAATTTGGTAACAAGGAGCCAGTATGGTTGTTGGTATACACTTAAGTTTTTGTTTCCCCACTCAAGAGTTGTTAGTGGTTATCTCTTGGAGAAGGGATAGGACAGCAAAGGAAGGCTTTTAATGTCCATACTGCACTCTGTTCTGTTTATACATCTAACCATCAGAATATGGTACTTTTGTTGTAATGGCAATACAGGTTACTGGGTTGTGAGAGTGCAGGTCACTTTTGTTTTCTTCTTTGCATTTTTAAAGTTTTTTTTGTTTTGTTTTGTTTTTTTTTTAAAGATTTTATTTATTTATTCATGAGAGACAGAGAGAGAGAGAGGCAGAGGGAGAAGCAGGCTCCCAAGGAGCAGGAAGCCCGATGCGGGACTCGATCCCAGGACCCTGAGATCATGACCTGAGCCGAAGGCAGACGCTTAACCATCTGAGCCACCCAGGCGCCCTTAAAGTTATTTTAAATAAATAACTTTCCAGGGGATTCTGATGTGGATAAAAAAGTGACAAACCACTGCCCTAAATCAAGGACAACAGCAAAATGAGGGATGAGCTTAACTTAATCTTTGGCCTATTATTCCTCCGGGACACCAAGAATCAACTTCATGGCCCAGCTACTCAGCAAAACCAAACAAAGGTGAGGACAACGGTTAAGTGCTGATTCCACTCACCCTGCCATAGACGGGGTTGGCAGCTGCCAAAACACTGCAGCGGGCATTCAGCCGAGCATGGATGCCAGCCTTGGCGATGGTGACTCGACCCTGCTCCATCACTTCGTGGATGGCCGTGCGGTCCATATCAGACATCTTGTCAAATTCATCAATGCAAACCACACCTCGGTCAGCAAGGACCATGGCCCCTGCTTCTAGCCGGCGCTCCCCTAGGAAATGAGGAGGTAAAGATACGTTTTACTATCCTGGTTGTAGAAGACGAGGGGAGAGATTTCAATCTCCTTCCTAAGCATTCAATGTTGCTCATGAGAATATAATGAGGAGCAGTCAGTTCCTAGAGACTTAGAGAAAAACCCTCGTGGGTCAACCTTTTTAGCTCCAATCTGAATGATCCCGAAGTAGCCAGCCTCCAACAAACTTCTTTCGTCAATTCTCTATCTTGATCCTCAAGTGATTCCCCAACTAGATCTCTGCTTTCTTTTCACTAGTCTTCAAATCCCTTTCTCCAATTTATAAAATAGCACAATCTTCATTTTTATTTCCCTTCCAATTTGCAAAGGTTTCTCCTTCAAAAACTGTCTTCTAGGAGACATTCTTATCCATAGAGGGCCACCCAAAGACTTAAATGATTCACCCCCTATTGCCAGAGATACTCAGTCTTCTACAGCCTGGCTCAAACTAACCTTTCTAGTGTATCTTCCCAATACAAGCTTCCCGAGAGCAAACTCAAGGAAATTATGCTTGATCTCACTGCGGGACCTTTGCCAAAGACCCTTACACCCTTACCGGTTTCCTGGTCTGTAGTGACAGCAGCCGTCAGACCCACTCCAGAGGAGCCCCGGCCAGTGGTGGGGATAGCCCGGGGAGCAGTGCACAGAACATAGCGTAGAAGCTGAGACTTGGCAACCGACGGGTCCCCTGTAATTGGGTGGGGCAGTGATGACTTGCTAGGAAACTCCTCCCCCCGCCCCCAGCAAGTTCTACTTTTCTAGTACAGCTCTTGGCGTAACAGAAATTTACAGTAACTGGTTGTAAATAATATTCCTTTCACTTGTAATGGCAAGTTACAGGAAGAATATATTTTAGACATTATAAATCAGGAAATACAAAAATGAGAATAGTAAGAAAAGATTCATTTTAGTCTTTTGTCCTTTGATGGAAATGAAATACACCATGTAAAGAATACACAATCTTACAGATTATAGATTCCCACAAGCACACTCCACAAGGGAAGACCAAGAATCTGATCCCCAGTGTCATACCGATCAGGAGAATATTGATGTCCCCACGGATGTGGCTGCCATTTTCAAGTTCTCGTTCCACCCCTCCCAAGAGCAAGCAGAGAATTGCCTTCTTAACATAGTCATGCCCATGGATGCTAGGGGCCAATGACCTGGCCAGCTGGTCAAAGATATCCTACAGGAGGAATAACCAAAGGTGTGAAAAGCCTAGTGAAATTCAGTTGGGTTTTGCTGAGCTCTGCTTTATACTTTAGCTTATAAAAATGCTTGAAGAACTCCACAAGTGTAGACACTGTTTCTAACTGTACACTGAACAGACCACTGTCAGAACAGATAAAGAGAAAGCCTGTATTCCAAAACCTGCTTAGAGGTTTAATATTTAAGAAAAAAGTATTTCCAGGTTCAAAACATTTTAGGTTTAATAAGAATATATAATGCGATTCCAGTAACCTTTTGTTTTGGTTTGGCTTGGTTTGTTTTTTCAGTAACCTTAATCACACAGGCATACACAGATGACCCTTAAACAATGCAGAAGTTAGGGGTGCCAAACCCCCATGCAGTCCAAAATCTACATATAACTTTTGATTCCCTCAAAACTTTACTAATGCCCCACTGCTGACCTCACCTCACCAATAACATAAAAAGTCAATTAACACATTTTTGTGTTTGATATGTACTATATGCTGTATTCTTACAATAAGTAAGCTATAGAAAGGAAAATGTCATTAAGAAAATCATAAGGAAGAGAAACACATTTATAGTACCATACTGTATTTATCAGAAAAAAACCCACAAGCAAGCAAACCCACACAGCTCAAACTTGTGTTGTTCAAGGGTCAACTGTATTTTCTTCAATTCTTCCTGTGGACATTTTGTCTTTAGAAAGAAAAACAAACTAGAGAACTAAAACAAAAATAACCTATCTTAAACTTAAGTAACGCATCACTACTGTCTTCCATATGGACTTATTGGTACACTGATATTCTCTTATTCTAGTACTTGTATTAGGTTCACTTAGCAGCCCAGCAGGTAACAAAACAGAAATATTAAACAGCAAAAACACCCTTTTACTTGCTGACTGGGTCAAACTAAAAGCTAACACCACATCCTTTAGAGAAAAAACCTTGACCCTCCTCCTGATCCAGTACAAAGATGAAAGGTGGTCCATGCAAAACACAACCCTAACAAATCCATCCCCACCCTCAAATCCCTGAAAGATGCTCAGACCTTAGAACGAGTTTTACTGAACTTCTTGATCTTGGCTATATCCTCAGCAGAGAATGAAGGCTGAACATCCTTGCTCATTTGCTTCACATTACAGGCAATCAGGATAGTCCTGGGACAAAGAGGGGAATAAGAAGCCTGCGGTTTTCAATTCCTAACATCAGAGCCAACAGCAAATCGGAAAACAATAAAGAGAAAAAAGACAAGTTGTTCTGAATTCAACAACTGATACTCTCTTAGTCTGCAACACAAATATGCTGATGATTCTTCACCTCAGGAATTTATCCTCTGCTGTCCCACAGATCTTCCTTCAGACAGAAGTGTGGATGAGAAGGAGGTGGGAATACGTGAGAAACTCATGTAAGCCAAGAGGCTATAATCATGTTACCGGTAACTCCCACTTTTAGCATAAGATAATACTACCAGTTTTATCTGATGGAAAAGATGTATCCCATCTCCCAGGCAGCTAGACTGCTCCACCTGTCTGATGTATGCTCCAGAATATGGCAAACTGGAGCAAGAATACTACCAGAAATGCAAGCTGCCAGCAGCTCACAACTGCCCCTTTACCTGAAGGTTCCTGAGGTGTAGCCTCCCTTCTTTCCAGGAAGGCAACGGTAGGTCCCCACCACCTGGACTCGGTCACCAGGCTTCACTTTATCTACCAAGTCATCATCCAGAATGACGTCCACAGAGCGGGGAAGTTGACCAGCTGGGGCCTTCTCCGGCATCTCCTGGATAGTGACGGTCTGGTGGTCCTTGTAGACAGAAAGGCCATATTCGGTCTCGAGGGGATTGTTTTCCTCGTCCTGAAAAAGACACACAGAAAAGCACTGCTATCTCATCCTGGTGTTAGAAATGCCACACTCATTTTTTGTAGGAAACAAACATAATTTGGAAATGACCTCATGAGATTTTAGTATCTAGGAACAAAAAAAAGCCAAATGTCTTCTCCAATTTTTTCCATTCCCATCTGTTCTAGTAATAAATCATCTAATGGAAGAGACAACTATAGTCTGAGGGAACCATGCCTATATTAACATCTAAATTAAGATTCTTATTTCCCCTGTACTATGACATAATATTTCCACTCCTAGGTAATACCCAACAGAAACATTCTTCCAAAGCCACATATTACAACGTTCACAGCAGCATTATTCCCAATAGCCAAAAATTAGAAAATATCCAAATGCTATCAATAGAATGGTTGAATAAATGTGGTATATCAACCCAAATGAATACTATACAGCAATGAAAATGTATAAAATACATCAATACACAACATGGATGAATCTCAAAACATCTGTTGAACAAAGGAAGCCCAACACAGGACTATTTAGATAAAATATAAAAACCAAGCAAGAGGGGGGGCGGAGCAAGATGGCGGAGGAGTAGGAGACCTGGATTTCGTCTCCTCTCAGGAATTCAGCTGGATAGGGATCAAACCATTCTGAA